CCATAGACCTACTATAAAGTTACATCTCACTACCATAGACCTACTATAAAGTTACATCTCACTACCATAGACCTACTACACAGTTTTATTACCGATCTTCTATAACAGTTGGTCTTTACTTTGCAGACTTACAAAGTCCCTCCTCCACCGGTACAGACACTGTGAGGAGTGTGGAGGACTTCTGTCCTGACGAAGGAGGACTTGACAACAGCTTCCTTGATGATACTAGGGAGGTTAAAGAAAATAGCAAGTTGACAAAGAACCATGACAGTGACAGGTAACCTGAATGTATTATCCACTTATTGATGACAATTTCTGTTTTTTAGGTATAATTTAAAAAAAAAGAATTTGGTCATGTTTCATAGCGCAAAATATATTCCTCAGAACAATGCCCATTTTAGGTTTAGGTATTAAACTTGTTTTACTGTGGTAGATAAGTGTGGTCAGTGGATCGGCTATGTATTATATCTGTTGTGAGTAGTGGCCCTTAGGTGATGCAATTCTTTATCTCTGGCCAGTGACGAAGATGCTAACAACCCAATGGTGGCAGGATTTCAAGATGACCTGGATTCAGATGATAATTTTGCCATGGACAACAGTTCAAATCAATTTGTCATGGCAACAGAAGACATTGTAGTGACATCATCGGACGAGGAGACAGTATCACCTGTGGAGAAGACTACAGTGGTTACCGCGGTGATGAACGTTTCCAGTGACTCAGACTCGGAGACAAATAAACCAACAATTGTGTCAACTTCTCGAAAAATATCAAATGGGAACAAAAGTATTGGTAAAGAGTCTAACAGTGACAGAAAAGTTTCCAAAACAAACAGTGTAACGTCAGACAAAGTGAGGATGACCTCTTATTCTATATCATCATCAGACAATGAAGTGACCGCTGGACAACCAGTTGTGTTGACCAATCAGGACATTGACTCTGAGGATGATGACACGACGACTGAGGTTGTGGTTGCTGTGGACGAGGACGTCAGTGACAATGATACTCCAGCCACCAACCTTCAGGTTCAGGCAGGCTTTGATAGCTGGCTAAACCAACTGGAGAGTAAGGTAGGGTATAGGCTGTGTAGATAATAAAGGCTTTGATAGCTGGCTAAACCAACTGGAGAGTAAGGTAGGGTATAGGCTGTGTAGATAATGAAGGCTTTGATAGCTGGCTAAACCAACTGGAGAGTAAGGTAGGGTATAGGCTGTGTAGATAATGAAGGCTTTGATAGCTGGCTAAACCAACTGGAGAGTAAGGTAGGGTATAGGCTGTGTAGATAATGAAGGCTTTGATAGCTGGCTAAACCAACTGGAGAGTAAGGTAGGGTATAGGCTGTGTAGATAATGAAGGCTTTGATAGCTGGCTAAACCAACTGGAGAGTAAGGTAGGGTATAGGCTGTGTAGATAATGAAGGCTTTGATAGCTGGCTAAACCAACTGGAGAGTAAGGTAGGGTATAGGCTGTGTAGATAATGAAGGCTTTGATAGCTGGCTAAACCAACTGGAGAGTAAGGTAGGGTATAGGCTGTGTAGATAATGAAGGCTTTGATAGCTGGCTAAACCAACTGGAGAGTAAGGTAGGGTATAGGCTGTGTAGATAATGAAGGCTTTGATAGCTGGCTAAACCAACTGGAGAGTAAGGTAGGGTATAGGCTGTGTAGATAATGAAGGCTTTGATAGCTGGCTAAACCAACTGGAGAGTAAGGTAGGGTATAGGCTGTGTAGATAATGAAGGCTTTGATAGCTGGCTAAACCAACTGGAGAGTAAGGTAGGGTATAGGCTGTGTAGATAATGAAGGCTTTGATAGCTGGCTAAACCAACTGGAGAGTAAGGTAGGGTATAGGCTGTGTAGATAATGAAGGCTTTGATAGCTGGCTAAACCAACTGGAGAGTAAGGTAGGGTATAGGCTGTGTAGATAATGAAGGCTTTGATAGCTGGCTAAACCAACTGGAGAGTAAGGTAGGGTATAGGCTGTGTAGATAATGAAGGCTTTGATAGCTGGCTAAACCAACTGGAGAGTAAGGTAGGGTATAGGCTGTGTAGACAATGAAGGCTTTGATAGCTGGCTTAACAAACTGGAGAGTAAGGTAGGGTATAGGCTGTGTAGATAATGAAGGCTTTGATAGCTGGCTAAACCAACTGGAGAGTACGGTAGGGTATAGGCTGTGTAGACAATGAAGGCCTTGATAGCTGGCTTAACAAACTGGAGAGTAAGGTATGGTATAGGCTGTGTAGATAATGAAGGCTTTGATAGCTGGCTTAACAAACGGGAGAGTAAGGTAGGGTATAGGCTGTGTAGATAATGAAGGCTTTGATAGCTGGCTAAACCAACTGGAGAGTAAGGTAGAGTATAGGCTGTGTAGATAATGAAGGCTTTGAGAGCTGACTAAACCAACTGGAGTATTATTCTCCATTCATTAATATACAAAGTCTGAAAACTTCTGCCAAAATTAAAGTGAGTTCTAAAAGCATTTCTTGTACATTTTCTGGTTGTTTTTACAGCCAAAATATACTGAGGAAGTTCACAGTGAACCCAGCAGTCCTGAGCTACAGCGACCAGTGGCCAGGTCAAGTAAGTACAAGCTAGGTACCTGTGGAACCAATACTGCCCTGTTAACCTTTGTTTGTTTGTTTGAGTGGTTTTACCACCGCTTCACTACTGAGTAGTTGGGTTTTTCAGCAGACGACCTTATGAACCTAGTTGTTCAGAGTTTATTTATGCACCACATGAACCCTACAGTTCAAAAGTCAAGTGCAATCTATCTATGTATCCAATTAACCATGCAAATCAGAGGTCAAGTAAGTGCAGAATATCTGTATCTTTCTGCCTCTCTGTCGCTGTCTTGCAGTGATGCAAGTCAAGTAAATATGAACCTGTATTTGTGATGTCACTGTACTAGTGAATACTTGTGCTTGTGATGTTGGTACAATTACTTAGATGGTATGTCACTGTACAATTGAATACTTGTGCTTGTGATGTTGGTACAATTACTAAGATGATATGTCACTGTACTAGTGAATACTTGTGCTTATGATGTTGGTACAATTACTAAGATGGTATGTCACTGTACAAGTGATTTGTTTACTTTAGAGTCAACTACATCTGGAGAAACCGTAGAGAGGGATACAAGTGCCAAAAAGAAGAAAAAGAAAAAGAAAGAAAAATCGGAGAAGGTACGTTTACCCGAACACACAAATAGCTGTCAGTAATACTCAGTGGTCAGTCAATCAGTTCAAATAAGTCTCTTAGTGTTGTTGTATACAAAGATATACACAATTATCAAAACTAGTAGCTATACTTATCAGGGGATTATAGGGACCCGTCGATCTTGAAACGTTGCGACACGTTTGATACATACATTGTTTGTGTAAAAAGTAAAAACCTTTATACATAATTAGGGGATGATGTACGTGGCGATTAGGACTTGAAATAAGGTTTGAACTAGAGACTGATAGGTTCAGTGTGTAAATCAAATTTTATGTTCTAATCACCGGAATAGACACAAAAAACAAAGCTGATTGTATCAGCATCTGTGATTAATTTCTCTGAAGGAATTAGTCGATGGTGTAAAAAATCCATACATCATGATAAGACACTTTGATATTTGGCAGGAGAAATAATTCATTTAGGATTTAGGATTTAATAATACTCTGATTTCTATTTGGTAGGGAGAAGAAAACTCTACTGGTAAAAAATCCAAAAAGAAAGAAAAACAAAAAGCTGAAAAAGAAAAGGGAGAAACAAGCAAAAAAGAAAAGAAGAAAAAGAAGGAAAAACCAGTTGTTTCACAAACAGAAAATGCAATGGAGAATATGGATGACTTGGAGGCATTCCTAAATGATGATCCTTCAACCCCAGGGGGTGGGGCAGGTTATGAGTCTCTCTGATCCTTCAACCCCAGGGGGTGGGGTAGGTTATGATTTTCTCTGATCCTTCAACCCCAGGGGGTGGGTCAGGTTATGAGTCTCTGATCCTTCAAACTCTGGGGGTGGGGTAGGTTATGAGTCTCTCTGATCCTTCAACCCCAGGGGGTGGGTCAGGCTATGTTTCACTTTGGTTCACCAACCCTTGGACAGGATATTGGCCACTTTGATCTATAAACCACAAATTACAGGGTCAGGTTGGATAGGCGAAGTCATTCTGTTACTCTGAAGAATTGAACAGAAATAAGTCATGCTGTTACCACATGGGTCTGAACCGATTAAATCATTTTATTAGCCTGGGGTTGGAACATGATAAGTCGATCAGTTACCTGGGGGTTGAAACAGAATAAATTCTTCTGATAGTCTGGGTATTGGAGCAGCATTAGTCATTCTCTTAGACAAAGAGTTGTAGGGTTAGGACAAAACAAATCATTCTGTTGGTTTAGTTGTAGGAACAAGAAAGGTCATTATGTAACACAGGGGGCTGGGACAAGATAAATTACTATGTAATCTTTAATTTTAAATAATTGGTACCTTGAATAGTTGAATGATTGCCTTTTATTTTTTAGTTCAATTGTTTCAATAGGTGTTACTCCCCTTTTTTAATTAATTCATGCGGGAGCAAGAAGTATTAGCATGTGGCTTACAGTTTTGTCCTGTAACCAGGGGGATCTGGACCGGATAAGTCTTTATGTTACCTAGTACCTAGGGCTTGGAGAAGGAAATGACTGATAAGTAAGTTTGTTATGACATGTACAAGGGATTAGGATTGGAGGTCACAATGTAAACCCTTGGGATTGGGACATGTCACACTGTTACCCCGGGGTGTGNCTGTGATGTTGGTACAATTACTAAGATGTCATGTCACTGTACAATTGAGTACTTGTGCTTGTGATGTTGGTACAATTACTCAGATGGTATATCACTGTACAAGTGAATACTTGTGCTTGTGATGTTGGTACAATTACTGAGATGTCATGTCACTGTACAATTGAATAGTTGTGCTTGTGATGTAGGTACAATTACTAAGATGGTATGTCACTGTACAAGTGAATACTTGTGCTTGTGATGTTGGTACAATCACTTAGATGGTATGTCACTGTACAATTGAATACTTGTGCTTGTGATGTAGGTACAATTACTAAGATGGTATGTCACTGTACTAGTGAATACTTGTGCTTGTTATGTTGGTACAATTACTTAGATCGTATGTCACTGTACAAGTGAATACTTGTGCTTATGATGTTGGTACAATTACTAAGATGGTATGTCACTGTACAAGTGAGTACTTGTGCTTGTGATGTTGGTACAATTACTTAGATGGTATGGCACTGTACAATTGAATATGTGTGCTTGTGATGTTGGTACAATTACTTAGATGGTATGTCACTGTACAAGTGAATACTTGTGCTTGTGATGTTGGTACAATTACTAAGATGGTATGTCACTGTACAAGTGANTAGTGCTGTATTGTATAGGGAGGATGTGTTAGTGGTGTGTTACGTACATGCTGACTAGATGTGATTGTAGTGCTGTATTGTATAGGGAGGATGTGTTAGTGGTGTGTTACGTACATGCTGACTAGATGTGATTGTAGTGCTGTATTGTATAGGGAGGATGTGTTAGTGGTGTGTTACGTACATGCTGACTAGATGTGATTGTAGTGCTGTATTGTATAGGGAGGATGTGTTAGTGGTGTGTTACGTACATGCTGACTAGATGTGATTGTAGTGCTGTATTGTATAGGGAGGATGTGTTAGTGGTGTGTTACGTACATGCTGACTAGATGTGATTGTAGTGCTGTATTGTATAGGGAGGATGTGTTAGTGGTGTGTTACGTACATGCTGACTAGATGTGATTGTAGTGCTGTATTGTATAGGGAGGATGTGTTAGTGGTGTGTTACGTACATGCTGACTAGATGTGATTGTAGTGCTGTATTGTATAGGGAGGATGTGTTAGTGGTGTGTTACGTACATGCTGACTAGATGTGATTGTAGTGCTGTATTGTATAGGGAGGATGTGTTAGTGGTGTGTTACGTACATGCTGACTAGATGTGATTGTAGTGCTGTATTGTATAGGGAGGATGTGTTAGTGGTGTGTTACGTACATGCTGACTAGATGTGATTGTAGTGCTGTATTGTATAGGGAGGATGTGTTAGTGGTGTGTTACGTACATGCTGACTAGATGTGATTGTAGTGCTGTATTGTATAGGGAGGATGTGTTAGTGGTGTGTTACGTACATGCTGACTAGATGTGATTGTAGTGCTGTATTGTATAGGGAGGATGTGTTAGTGGTGTGTTACGTACATGCTGACTAGATGTGATTGTAGTGCTGTATTGTATAGGGAGGATGTGTTAGTGGTGTGTTACGTACATGCTGACTAGATGTGATTGTAGTGCTGTATTGTATAGGGAGGATGTGTTAGTGGTGTGTTACGTACATGCTGACTAGATGTGATTGTAGTGCTGTATTGTATAGGGAGGATGTGTTAGTGGTGTGTTACGTACATGCTGACTAGATGTGATTGTAGTGCTGTATTGTATAGGGAGGATGTGTTAGTGGTGTGTTACGTACATGCTGACTAGATGTGATTGTAGTGCTGTATTGTATAGGGAGGATGTGTTAGTGGTGTGTTACGTACATGCTGACTAGATGTGATTGTAGTGCTGTATTGTATAGGGAGGATGTGTTAGTGGTGTGTTACGTACATGCTGACTAGATGTGATTGTAGTGCTGTATTGTATAGGGAGGATGTGTTAGTGGTGTGTTACGTACATGCTGACTAGATGTGATTGTAGTGCTGTATTGTATAGGGAGGATGTGTTAGTGGTGTGTTACGTACATGCTGACTAGATGTGATTGTAGTGCTGTATTGTATAGGGAGGATGTGTTAGTGGTGTGTTACGTACATGCTGACTAGATGTGATTGTAGTGCTGTATTGTATAGGGAGGATGTGTTAGTGGTGTGTTACGTACATGCTGACTAGATGTGATTGTAGTGCTGTATTGTATAGGGAGGATGTGTTAGTGGTGTGTTACGTACATGCTGACTAGATGTGATTGTAGTGCTGTATTGTATAGGGAGGATGTGTTAGTGGTGTGTTACGTACATGCTGACTAGATGTGATTGTAGTGCTGTATTGTATAGGGAGGATGTGTTAGTGGTGTGTTACGTACATGCTGACTAGATGTGATTGTAGTGCTGTATTGTATAGGGAGGATGTGTTAGTGGTGTGTTACGTACATGCTGACTAGATGTGATTGTAGTGCTGTATTGTATAGGGAGGATGTGTTAGTGGTGTGTTACGTACATGCTGACTAGATGTGATTGTAGTGCTGTATTGTATAGGGAGGATGTGTTAGTGGTGTGTTACGTACATGCTGACTAGATGTGATTGTAGTGCTGTATTGTATAGGGAGGATGTGTTAGTGGTGTGTTACGTACATGCTGACTAGATGTGATTGTAGTGCTGTATTGTATAGGGAGGATGTGTTAGTGGTGTGTTACGTACATGCTGACTAGATGTGATTGTAGTGCTGTATTGTATAGGGAGGATGTGTTAGTGGTGTGTTACGTACATGCTGACTAGATGTGATTGTAGTGCTGTATTGTATAGGGAGGATGTGTTAGTGGTGTGTTACGTACATGCTGACTAGATGTGATTGTAGTGCTGTATTGTATAGGGAGGATGTGTTAGTGGTGTGTTACGTACATGCTGACTAGATGTGATTGTAGTGCTGTATTGTATAGGGAGGATGTGTTAGTGGTGTGTTACGTACATGCTGACTAGATGTGATTGTAGTGCTGTATTGTATAGGGAGGATGTGTTAGTGGTGTGTTACGTACATGCTGACTAGATGTGATTGTAGTGCTGTATTGTATAGGGAGGATGTGTTAGTGGTGTGTTACGTACATGCTGACTAGATGTGATTGTAGTGCTGTATTGTATAGGGAGGATGTGTTAGTGGTGTGTTACGTACATGCTGACTAGATGTGATTGTAGTGCTGTATTGTATAGGGAGGATGTGTTAGTGGTGTGTTACGTACATGCTGACTAGATGTGATTGTAGTGCTGTATTGTATAGGGAGGATGTGTTAGTGGTGTGTTACGTACATGCTGACTAGATGTGATTGTAGTGCTGTATTGTATAGGGAGGATGTGTTAGTGGTGTGTTACGTACATGCTGACTAGATGTGATTGTAGTGCTGTATTGTATAGGGAGGATGTGTTAGTGGTGTGTTACGTACATGCTGACTAGATGTGATTGTAGTGCTGTATTGTATAGGGAGGATGTGTTAGTGGTGTGTTACGTACATGCTGACTAGATGTGATTGTAGTGCTGTATTGTATAGGGAGGATGTGTTAGTGGTGTGTTACGTACATGCTGACTAGATGTGATTGTAGTGCTGTATTGTATAGGGAGGATGTGTTAGTGGTGTGTTACGTACATGCTGACTAGATGTGATTGTAGTGCTGTATTGTATAGGGAGGATGTGTTAGTGGTGTGTTACGTACATGCTGACTAGATGTGATTGTAGTGCTGTATTGTATAGGGAGGATGTGTTAGTGGTGTGTTACGTACATGCTGACTAGATGTGATTGTAGTGCTGTATTGTATAGGGAGGATGTGTTAGTGGTGTGTTACGTACATGCTGACTAGATGTGATTGTAGTGCTGTATTGTATAGGGAGGATGTGTTAGTGGTGTGTTACGTACATGCTGACTAGATGTGATTGTAGTGCTGTATTGTATAGGGAGGATGTGTTAGTGGTGTGTTACGTACATGCTGACTAGATGTGATTGTAGTGCTGTATTGTATAGGGAGGATGTGTTAGTGGTGTGTTACGTACATGCTGACTAGATGTGATTGTAGTGCTGTATTGTATAGGGAGGATGTGTTAGTGGTGTGTTACGTACATGCTGACTAGATGTGATTGTAGTGCTGTATTGTATAGGGAGGATGTGTTAGTGGTGTGTTACGTACATGCTGACTAGATGTGATTGTAGTGCTGTATTGTATAGGGAGGATGTGTTAGTGGTGTGTTACGTACATGCTGACTAGATGTGATTGTAGTGCTGTATTGTATAGGGAGGATGTGTTAGTGGTGTGTTACGTACATGCTGACTAGATGTGGGTGACTGTGATAATGTGTGTATGATATTTATCTGAACCAGCACAGAGTTATTCCCCTTTTCTGATTTCTACTTTCTGTCTCAAATAATGTTTATGAAACTTGGTACACATGATCACTACCTTAAGTTTTTGTGCACTTGTGATTTATTTTCAATAGATTTTGCCCTTTTTTCTGACCCTATTTAAAACACCAACTGCCAGGTAGAGACATATAGCAAACACGTTCCATATCCATTTATAAATTTACAATATATGATGCCCTTTTTCTGATATCCATTATAAATTTTGTTTGAAGTACTGCTATTTATCTTCTTCACTTTCATTTATAAAACTTTGTACACAAAGCATTACCCAATGTTGTTTTGCACTTTGTTGTTATTTAAAGAATTTGTATTAGCGACATGTTTATCAAAGTTGTGCACCTTCTTCTGATTTGTTTCTATGGAAGTATTATTGTATCACTGTGTCATTCAACCATCTTGACCATGGAAAGTTTGATGTGATTAATTGGACAGTGTTTGTTGTAAATGGAAACCAAGGCTGCTTTTGTTTCTCACGTTACAAATGGTTGGACCAGAGTTTGTTTATGAAATATGGACAGACCTTACGATTTTATGTTGTTTTCTGGTGAGCCTTGGAAAAGACTTTCAAAGCAAGCTTTAACATTGGTAGGTCTGTCAGGT